CGATTATATGGTCCCTGTGCCAAGCAGTAGGTCAGTAGCCCTGTTCCTCATGGAGCTGTGCGCGCAGACGGGTTGGGTCCGAGTGGGGCCCAGAGGCTTGGTCTGGCTGACAATGCTACTGATGCGCTGGCCCAAATCTGGCTCCATTACCATCAAGGTGTACTATCGTATGGTCCCTGTGCCAAGCGGTAGGTCAGGAGGCCTGTTCCTCATGGAGCTGTGCGCGCAGACGGGTTGGGTCCGAGTGGGGCCAAGAGGCTTCGTCTGGCTGACAATGCTACTGATGCGCTGGCCCAAATCTGGCTCCATTACCATGAAGGTGTACTATTATATGGTCCCTGTGCCAAGCAGTAGGTCAGTAGCCCTGTTCCTCATGGAGCTGTGCGCGCAGACGGGTTGGGTCCGAGTGGGGCCCAGAGGCTTGGTCTGGCTGACAATGCTACTGATGCGCTGGCCCAAATCTGGCTCCATTACCATGAAGGTTTACTATTATATGGTCCCTGTGCCAAGCAGTAGGTCAGTAGCCCTGTTCCTCATGGAGCTGTGCGCGCAGACGGGTTGGGTTCGAGGGGGGCCGACAGGCTTGGTCTAGCTGACAATGCTACTGATGCGCTGGCCCAAATCTGGCTCCATTACCATCAAGGTATACTATTATATGGTCCCTGTGCCAAGCAGTAGGTCAGTAGCCCTGTTCCTCATGGAGCTGTGCGCGCAGACGGGTTGGGTCCGAGTGGGGCCAGAGGCTTGGTCTGGCTGACAATGCTACTGATGTGCTGGCCCAATCTGGCTCCATTACCATCAAGGTGTACTATTATATGGTCCCTGTGCCAAGCAGTAGGTCAGTAGCCCTGTTCCTCATGGAGCTGTGCGCGCAGACGGGTTGGGTCCGAGTGGGGCCCAGAGGCTTGGTCTGGCTGACCATGCTACTGATGCGCTGGCCCAAATGTGGCTCCATTACCATCAAGGTATACGATTATATGGTCCCTGTGCCAAGCAGTAGGTCAGTAGCCTGTTCCTCATGAGCTGTGCGCGCAGACGGGTTGGGTCCGAGTGGGGCCCAAGAGGCTTGGTCTGGCTGACAATGCTACTGATGTGCTGGCCCAAATCTGGCTCCATTACCATCAAGGTGTACTATTATATGGTCCCTATGCCAAGCAGTTAGGTCAGTAGCCCTGTTCCTCATGGAGCTGTGCGCGCAGACGGGTTGGGTTCCGAGTGGGGCCCAGAGGCTTGGTCTGGATGACCATGCTACTGATGCGCTGGCCCAAATGTGGCTCCATTACCATCAAGGTATACGATTATATGGTCCCTGTGCCAAGCAGTAGGTCAGTAGCCCTGTTCCTCATGGAGCTGTGCGCGCAGACGGGTTGGGTTCGAGGGGGGCCAACAGGCTTGGTCTGGCTGACAATGCTACTGATGCGCTGGCCCAAATCTGGCTCCATTACCATCAAGGTATACGATTATATGGTCCCTGTGCCAAGCAGTAGGTCAGTAGCCCTGTTCCTCATGGAGCTGTGCGCGCAGACGGGTTGGGTCCGAGTGGGGCCCAGAGGCTTGGTCTGGCTGACAATGCTACTGATGCGCTGGCCCAAATCTGGCTCCATTACCATCAAGGTGTACTATCGTATGGTCCCTGTGCCAAGCGGTAGGTCAGGAGGCCTGTTCCTCATGGAGCTGTGCGCGCAGACGGGTTGGGTCCGAGTGGGGCCAAGAGGCTTCGTCTGGCTGACAATGCTACTGATGCGCTGGCCCAAATCTGGCTCCATTACCATGAAGGTGTACTATTATATGGTCCCTGTGCCAAGCAGTAGGTCAGTAGCCCTGTTCCTCATGGAGCTGTGCGCGCAGACGGGTTGGGTCCGAGTGGGGCCCAGAGGCTTGGTCTGGCTGACAATGCTACTGATGCGCTGGCCCAAATCTGGCTCCATTACCATGAAGGTTTACTATTATATGGTCCCTGTGCCAAGCAGTAGGTCAGTAGCCCTGTTCCTCATGGAGCTGTGCGCGCAGACGGGTTGGGTTCGAGGGGGGCCGACAGGCTTGGTCTAGCTGACAATGCTACTGATGCGCTGGCCCAAATCTGGCTCCATTACCATCAAGGTATACGATTATATGGTCCCTGTGCCAAGCAGTAGGTCAGTAGCCCTGTTCCTCATGGAGCTGTGCGCGCAGACGGGTTGGGTCCGAGTGGGGCCAAGAGGCTTGGTCTGGCTGACAATGCTACTGATGTGCTGGCCCAAATCTGGCTCCATTACCATCAAGTGTACTATTATATGGTCCCTGTGCCAAGCAGTAAGTCATACCCCTGTTCCTCATGGAGCTGTGCGCGCAGACGGGTTGGGTCCGAGTGGGGCCAGAGCTTGGTCTGGCTGACAATGCTACTGATGCGCTGGCCCAACTCTGGCTCCATTACCATGAAGGTATATTGCTGTATGGTTCCTGTGCCAAGCAGTAGGTCAGTAGCCCTGTTCCTCATGGAGCTGTGCGCGCAGACGCGTTGGGTCCGAGTGGGGTCGAGAGGCTTGGTCTGGCTGACAATGCTCCTGATGTGCTGGCCCAACTCTGGCTCCATTACCATCAAGGTATACTGATGTAGGGTCCCTGCGTCAAACAGTAGGTCAGCAGCCCTCTTCCTCATGGAGCTGTGCGTGCAGGCAGGTTGGGTCCGAGTGAGGGTCGAGAGGCTTGGTCTGGCTGACAATGCTACTGATGCGCTGGCCCAAATCTGGCTCCATTACCATCAAGGTATACTGCTGTATGGTCCCTGTGCCAAGCAGTAGGTCAGTAGCCCTGTTCCTCATGGAGCTGTGCGCGCAGACGCGTTGGGTCCGAGTGGGGTCGAGAGGCTTGGTCTGGCTGACAATGCTACTGATGCGCTGGCCCAAATCTTGCTCCATTCCCATCAAGGTATACTATTATAGGGTCCCTGTGCCAAGCAGTAGGTCAGTAGTAGCCCTGTTCCTCATGGAGCTGTGCGCGCAGACGCGTTGGGTCCGAGGGGGGCCGACAGGCTTGGTCTGGCTGACAATGCTACTGATGCGCTGGCCCAAATCTGGCTCCATTACCATCAAGGTATACTATTATAGGGTCCCTGTGCCAACCAGTAGGTCAGTAGCCCTGTTCCTCATGGAGCTGTGCGCGCAGACGGGTTGGGTTTGAGGGGGGCCGACAGGCTTGGTCTGGCTGACAATGCTACTGATGCGCTGGCCCAACTCTGGCTCCATTACCATCAAGGTATACTATTATAGGGTCCCTGTGCCAACCAGTAGGTCAGGAGGCCTGTTCCTCATGGAGCTGTGCGCGCAGACGGGTTGGGTCCGAGTAGGGCCCAGAGGCTTGGTCTGGCTGACAATGCTACTGATGCGCTGGCCCAAATCTGGCTCCATTACCATCAAGGTATACTATTATAGGGTCCCTGTGCCAACCAGTAGGTCAGTAGCCCTGTTCCTCATGGAGCTGTGCGCGCAGACGGGTTGGGTCCGAGTGGGGCCAAGAGGCTTGGTCTGGCTGACAATGCTACTGATGCGCTGGCCCAAATCTGGCTCCATTACCATCAAGGTATACTATTGTATGGTCCCTGCGCCAAGTGGTAGGTCAGCAGCCCTGTTCCTCATGGAGCTGTGCGCGCAGACGGGTCGGGTCCGAGTGGGGCCAAGAGGCTTGGTCTGGCTGACAATGCTACTGATGCGCTGGCCCAAATCTGGCTCCATTCCCATCAAGGTATACTATTATAGGGTCCCTGTGCCAAGCAGTAGGTCAGGAGGCCTGTTCCTCATGGAGCTGTGCGCGCAGACGGGTTGGGTCCGAGTGGGGCCCAGAGGCTTGGTCTGGCTGACAATGCTACTGATGCGCTGGCCCAAATCTGGCTCCATTACCATCAAGGTGTACTATTATATGGTCCCTGTGCCAAGCAGTAGGTCAGTAGCCCTGTTCCTCATGGAGCTGTGCGCGCAGACGGGTTGGGTCCGAGTGGGGCCAAGAGGCTTCGTCTGGCTGACAATGCTACTGATGCGCTGGCCCAAATCTGGCTCCATTACCATCAAGGTATACGATTATATGGTCCCTGTGCCAAGCAGTAGGTCAGTAGCCCTGTTCCTCATGGAGCTGTGCGCGCAGACGGGTTGGGTCCGAGTGGGGCCAAGAGGCTTGGTCTGGCTGACAATGCTACTGATGCGCTGGCCCAAATCTGGCTCCATTACCATCAAGGTGTACTATTATATGGTCCCTGTGCCAAGCAGTAGGTCAGTAGCCCTGTTCCTCATGGAGCTGTGCGCGCAGACGGGTTGGGTCCGAGTGGGGCCAAGAGGCTTGGTCTGGCTGACAATGCTACTGATGTGCTGGCCCAAATCTGGCTCCATTACCATCAAGGTATACTATTGTATGGTCCCTGTGCCAAGCGGTAGGTCAGGAGCCCTGTTCCTCATGGAGCTGTGCGCGCAGACGGGTTGGGTCCGAGTGGGGCCAAGAGGCTTGGTCTGGCTGACAATGCTACTGATGCGCTGGCCCAAATCTGGCTCCATTACCATGAAGGTGTACTATTATATGGTCCCTGTGCCAAGCAGTAGGTCAGTAGCCCTGTTCCTCATGGAGCTGTGCGCGCAGACGGGTTGGGTTCGAGGGGGGCCGACAGGCTTGGTCTAGCTGACAATGCTACTGATGCGCTGGCCCAAATCTGGCTCCATTACCATCAAGGTGTACTATTATATGGTCCCTGTGCCAAGCAGTAGGTCAGGAGGCCTGTTCCTCATGGAGCTGTGCGCGCAGACGGGTTGGGTCCGAGTGGGGCCCAGAGGCTTGGTCTGGCTGACAATGCTACTGATGTGCTGGCCCAAATCTGGCTCCATTACCATCAAGGTGTACTATTATATGGTCCCTGTGCCAAGCAGTAGGTCAGTAGCCCTGTTCCTCATGGAGCTGTGCGCGCAGACGGGTTGGGTCCGAGTGGGGCCCAGAGGCTTGGTCTGGCTGACCATGCTACTGATGCGCTGGCCCTAATGTGGCTCCATTACCATCAAGGTATACTATTATAGGGTCCCTGTGCCAAGCAGTAGGTCAGGAGGCCTGTTCCTCATGGAGCTGTGCGCGCAGACGGGTTGGGTTCAAGGGGGGCCAACAGGCTTGGTCTGGCTGACAATGCTACTGATGCGCTGGCCCAAATCTGGCTCCATTACCATCAAGGTATACGATTATATGGTCCCTGTGCCAAGCAGTAGGTCAGTAGCCCTGTTCCTCATGGAGCTGTGCGCGCAGACGGGTTGGGTCCGAGTGGGGCCCAGAGGCTTGGTCTGGCTGACAATGCTACTGATGCGCTGGCCCATATCTGGCTCCATTACCATCAAGGTGTACTATCGTATGGTCCCTGTGCCAAGCGGTAGGTCAGGAGGCCTGTTCCTCATGGAGCTGTGCGCGCAGACGGGTTGGGTTTGAGGGGGGCCGACAGGCTTGGTCTGGCTGACAATGCTACTGATGCGCTGGCCCCAATCTGGCTCCATTACCATCAAGGTATACTGCTGTATGGTCCCTGTGCCAAGCAGTAGGTCAGTAGCCCTGTTCCTCATGGAGCTGTGCGTGCAGACGGGTTGGGTCCGAGTGGGGCCAAGAGGCTTGGTCTGGCTGGTCAGTAGCCCTGTTCCTCATGGAGCTGTGCGCGCAGACGGGTTGGGTTCGAGGGGGGCCAACAGGCTTGGTCTGGCTGACAATGCTACTGATGCGCTGGCCCAAATCTGGCTCCATTACCATCAAGGTATACGATTATATGGTCCCTGTGCCAAGCAGTAGGTCAGTAGCCCTGTTCCTCATGGAGCTGTGCGCGCAGACGGGTTGGGTCCGAGTGGGGCCCAGAGGCTTGGTCTGGCTGACAATGCTACTGATGCGCTGGCCCAAATCTGACTCCATTACCATCAAGGTGTACTATCGTATGGGCCCTGTGCCAAGCGGTAGGTCAGGAGGCCTGTTCCTCATGGAGCTGTGCGCACAGACGG